GTGTGTGTGTGTGTGTGTGTGTGTGTGTGTGTGTGTGTTACCATGTGACGACATATTAGACAAGACCCCGGTCAGGACTTAGAACACCAGAGCCTTTCAACCATTTCCAAATCGAACATTTCGATCAGTTTGCTGTCGAGTGATGTGGATTCTTTTTTTTCCCGCCATTCGAATTTTAATTTCAAGCGTGTAAAGAGATATAACGAGGCTAAATGATTGTGATCGTTATTTTAGCCATCCCATCTACTAGGGTGTATGTTCTTTGTGTCCGCATGTACTGCTGTTTTTCATCACTTCATGTTATGAAGGACTGCTATACCCATTACTCTTTGATTGCCAATAATGGTATACGAATTGAATGCTTTGTCTGCACAGTATGAACATTGACTGATCGCCAGCTGTATCTGTTGCATACATGTAGGTTGCTCACTGGCGCGAGCATGGTCACAAGGAGACCTGCACTGGGGAGGCAGAGGACGGGGCCAATGATGACGGTGGGTGCCAGAGAGAAAGAAACTGTTTTTTTGTGTAGGATGAACTGTAGATACATGTCGAACTCCAGCATCCGCTTCTCAATGTCTGGTATATATTCAAGCTGCAAGAGTTGAACAAACACAATGAGCGAGACCTGTTTCCATGTACCTTCCTGTACTAGCAAGTATGTTGGAAGTTATATATATGTCGTGCGCTCGCAGCGTTATCCATACACCGGTGTATGTACCGGACAATAGTGCGAGTGAATATAAAGTAAGTACATGGCTGGGCTGTGTGTGTGTAAGAATGATCTCGTTCATCGGCAAGCCCCGCCAGATACGCACATTGTGTGCGCTTAATGGCTTTTGCTTTATATTCAACAAAGTTTGAGCTCTCATGATTATAGCACCTGCTGAATTTGACAGGGCTGGGAGATGTGGAAGGTCAATCTTCGCAATACAGCTTCTTCTTCGACGGGGTATTGGAGCAGTGTGAAAAGGACAACCAACGGCAGAAAAATATGCGAAACAAACAACGCTATGGCAAGTAAGTATGGATGCAGATACATATACAGACGCAGACCAGTGCAGATACAGATCGCGAGTCACAGCCGTGCATTCTGGTATACGGACTGGTTGAGTGTGGTCACCTCGACTATGTATTCACACGAGTGATAGTATGTGCGAACATCTACAGCCCTTTGCTGTGCATGACTACTTCGTAGTGTCGCTCGAAGTTTGTATCCTGTGTGGTAGCATTTCGTTTCGCTATTCGTTTGTTGTCTTCATGTGTTGTGCGCACATTATCTCATTATATATGTGACACGTTGCTTTTTATATCCCTCCGTATGTGTAGTTTCTTATCCTGTTGGATCCTGCTGCAGTCTATTTCTATCCTGCGCTGTTATTCATCTATCCGGCCACTGCTTATTGCCCACCATGCACAATGCGCTCGAAGCCTCTATGCCGGTTGAAACTCAATACGTATCCAATCTATCTTCACGCAGATATCGAGCAAATGATCCACGAATCATCAGGTGGGCGGAATTGCTAAGTGAATATGCAGACACCGGTGTCAATCCCTTGATCTCCTACGGACTGCGAGCGAGGCATTTCTCACGCAAACATGGCCATAGGCGGAAAGCTCGTGTGGAGAGCGACGAGGTGTACAATAGTACCGAACATGTAGAACTCGCGGCACGCCAGATGAAAAGGAAGCGCCAAAAAGTGGCTGTCACACGCCCTGCAGATTTATTGTGTATATATACTTGCGACATATGTCACAGGTATGAACGGTTTCATTCACTAAAGTTGTACACGATCTGCTTTTATACGTAGCTAAGGTACCTAGCTCTGCCTCCTATTGATCTTAAATCTGAAGTGGTTTTGCGCACTCCTGCTGTTTGCGTGCATCCTTAGTGTTAAACATTTCCCGTGCATTGTGCTCTTACCTCGCCTTCTACAAAACCATCCCTTCCATACACCGTCCCCTAAGCTTTACTTATACTCTTATCCACATACTTTTCTACCTATGCTACACAGAGATTATAAAAGTCAGAAATCTTTCAAAGCTCACACTATTAGTAAACACCCGAAGGCGAATGTGGCAGCGCTTACAGATTCGGCTAACAAAACGCGAACCGCCGTAAACACAATACCATCCGTGACCACAGAGACATCCTCAGATTCACCCGCAGCAATCGCCACAGCAGCACCATTGGAAAGGAATGAGAAAGTGCCAGGAATAGTTGACACAACCACCGCTAAGGTGTCTCCGGGGCCAGTAGTACTCAGAGAGCCCATGCAAAATTCCTTTAGACGATAACCCGATAACAGAGTACGGTAAGACTTGCTCCTTCGATAGTAACAACAGCTGAGATAGGACCAGGAGTAGCTGCGAATAGAATTCCGCTGAGACCATCAAGGGCGAAAGAGAATACATAGCTCACAGTGTCTCTTTTGGAGGGCTATGAATATCGGTAAATAATAAAATACAATGCAAACAGGGCCTGGACGAAACGACCGCAGAGTATGTTTATTGCTGTAGAAAGTATGACATGGTTTCCTCTCACTCTCTAAATACTTTAATAGTGTCTATTGGTAGAGAGTAGTCTTGATATCATCACATGTATTTGTTGTTGTTTTTTTTTCAAATAAAAAATCTGAAATAGATATCCCTATAAAATTTAAAAATCCCAATGATCGGTCATCAAAATTCAAAAATGCCACGAAAGCCATCATCCATTTTTTATTATTATCTATACGTAACTGTTTCTCCCTTTCTACTACTACTACTACATAGTAGTGAGAGAGAGGATCGTGCATTCACAATACATACCATTTACTAGAGAGAGGGACGATCGTGCAAATCCTCTAGTCCCCCACTACATGCTATTTAATACTACCAATACTGTTAACTGTACAGGGCTGTGAGAGGTACTAGAGATGAGCAACCCACCACCGCCAAAAAATGCCATACACATCCCGACAGCCGCAGAGCTTGCGCAGCGCAATGCCGAGCGACGAGCACGGACAACCACCAACAATAACAGCAAGTACTTCAACCCCACATCAGCGCAACCACAACCACATAGTACCAGCACACCCGCACCCATAAATGATAGCAGTAATAGCAGTTATAATAGTATTAGTAGTAAAAACAAAATATCGGGTAGTGCAGTATATGGGAGTGTACAAAGTAATGCAGGCTCGGGTGCGAGCTCATCGGGTGGTGCTAGGGGGAGTAGGAATGCGCAGGCGAATGTACGTGATACGACTATAGGGGCCAGTGCACAACACAGTGGGAGTACGAGTTCAAGGAAACCTGCAGATAGTACAAGAACACAGGCACAGGGAAGTAGTAGTATGAATACTCAGCCTACCAGCGCAAGTAATACGAGTAATGGGGGACAACAAACAGCTACGACAGGGTGTGTGTGTGTATATACATATATACGTGTATGTCTGTATGTATATATATATATGTGTGTGTGTGTGTGTGTGTGTGTGTGTGTGTGTGTGTGTTATATATATATATATATATAGTATATATATATATATATATATATATATATATATATATATATATATATATATATATATATTATTATATATTATATTATATAT